CCATAGCAGCAAAACTAACGGAAAAACAAGAAGATGCGCCCTTAGGACCTTTTGTAAATTGATTCTTGCTCCATGAGAAAATGTCGTAAACAGCTCGGAGACGTCTCAATTTCTTCAGAAACTGTTTACTCTACACGATAGACTTATTTGCAAAGAATTTCTGGATTGAACTCTGGGAGTTGGTTTTCTGAGATTTGAGTTTTCCACAGACCCTGATTTCAGGAGTTTTGATAGAGCCTTTGTATACACCACCTGAGTTCGGAAATTCTCTTAGCTATTCAAATGTTTTTTCAAATTTATTCTAGCTATTATGATCATGCAATAATTGCGACTAGACGCATTTATGTGTCGCCGGGAGCCAAAGGGTTAAGGCAAGAGATTTGATGCTTTTTGAGCGGATGATCATGCGTCAATCGTGTATTTATATTTATATTGTCTGCTGATTATTCAACTATTTTTCTCTCTACTATCTAACCTTTCTTTTCTAGAAGAAAACGAAACGAGAAGAACGAAAAGAAAAGAGATATGGCAGTCGAAGACCAGATACATACGGACAATTACAACGACGAAGCACAATTCGTCTCGTTTCATTTTCTTCTGGAAAAGAAAGGTTGGATAGCAGAGAGAAAAATAGTTGAATAATCAGTGGGCATTAGTATAAATACAACTGACGCCATTCGGTTTAAAAGAAATTCTTTTGTATTTGTATATCCTTAACAAGAATTTTTTACTAAATCGAAATGTAGGAAATTTAAAAAATGATTCAAACCGCTGCTTTAGTTTTATTGTTCTTAATAAAAACTCTACCGATTATCAATAAAAATGAACCAAATTTGATGAAACTCGGCAAATTAAGGGTCTTGAAAGATGCTCTTTCATCTGGTTCATTTAGATTTTTTAAAAGTGCTTGAAAGTAAGGTTTTTAGCTACTACTGTACAAAAAATATTTTTTCCAAAATACACTATTAACATGTGAAAGAATTTCGAGATGGCCATCGTATTTAAAACTGAACGGACTACACTTCAAAAAAAAAACTCGATTCTCCAGCAAAAAGTTTAAATTTTTAAGCTGAATTTTAATTTTTAAAACTTTATGCATTTTTAAAAGTTTAATAATGCGTCTCAGAAAAATGGTGTAGAATTCGGTAAGCCACCATTCGATACAGAATCAAAAGCTGAGCAAACCCAGGAATTTGACAACTTTTACAGATCGGTTTTCCGGAGACAGGTCCTCTAGGAAATTAACTTAAAATTCCAAAATTTTTTTCTTTTATCAACCATTTATAGACTCCTGTTATTCTGTAATTTATACATTTGAAAGGCTCGAATTACAGGAATATACATAGTTTGTCGTCCTCTGTAAAATGACCCATAAAAAAACATTTCGGCTTGTAAGTTAATTAACCTGTCTCTGGAAAACCGATCTAAAAAACCTGCGAACGCCTCCAAGTTTATTCAGTTTTTGGTTCTGTATCGAATAGTGGGTTGCTGAGTTTTATACAAAATGTTATGTTTTAAATGTAACCCATTAAGTTTTGAATACAATGGCCGTCTCAAAATTCTGTCAGATACCGATAATGTTTTTTGGAAAAAATATTTTTTGTACATTGGTAGAGAGAAAACTATGGTTTTCCAAAAACTCTACTTCCAAGCACTTTTAAAAAATCTAAATGAATCACATGTAAGAGCGAATCCTTAAGGTCCTTGTTTCATGAAATTTGACCAGCGTAGGCACAAATTACTCTAGATCAACTTTCTCATCTAATGGGCCTATTTTGTGCTCTGCTTTGTAAAAAAAGAGAAGAAAATAAATGATCTGTTTTAAAAGTATTGACATGCACAAAATAGAATAATAACGACGTTTTTAATAACATGAAGCGTTCTTAACAATTAGTAATTAGTGAACTAGACGCTCTAATTACTTTTAAAACAGACTAAAAACTGGTCGTAAAAGCTAAAGAGATAATATGACCTTGCTCTACGTTTCGTTTGAATTGTTCGAATAAACAACTATCAAATCTGACTTATGAATACTATAGCCCGCTGGAACAAAAATGGTCGTTAATGCATCTGAAATCGTATTTGACAGCACTTAAATTAGTGGCCTGCACTAACAGTCTTATTATTATTGTTTTAGCATTGAAATTATGCTCATTTTCATTATGCTCATAAGAGACGCTCCGCGTTCGAGAGCATAATTGTATTTTGTTAATTTTCTTTATATTAATAAACAGTTTAAGTCAAATAAACAGTCTTATTTCATACAAACAATGTCTTAAATTTTATAAGAAAGGAGATATTGCAACGTCCGTAAGTTATCGCACTACTGTCATTTATCAAATGGAAAATGAATCGAATGGAACAGATTTGGAAATGTTAGAAGTCGTGCAACGTGATATGTCAATTGAATTGAATTGCAACACGCAGCCGCGTCAGATTTCAAAACCAGATATTAAACACAATTATATTGATGCAGAACAAGCATCTTTCGAAGAGATTGCTGGAATTGTATCAAATAACGATGATCCAAGTATATTATCTGTAACATTTAGAAGTTGTTTTATGGGTGGTTTGTTCACTATATTTCTATCTGTTATAAATCAATATTTTCACTATAGAACAATATCATATGTTTTTCCATCTATTCTTCTATTATTGTTTTCTTATCCACTGGGAAAATTAATGGCATGGTGTTTACCGAGAAAAGAATTTAATATTTGGAGATGGAGTTTTTCTCTAAATCCTTGCCAATTTTCTATGAAAGAGCATGCTTTAATTTTTGTTATGTCATCTGTAGCAGCTCAAAATATTTATTCAATTGATATTATTGTAATTAAAAATATTAAATATAATGAAGAAACAAGTTTTGGATTGGGATTATTTTTTGTTATATCAACACAGGTCATGGGATACGGGATGGCAGGTGTGTATTTTTTCTGTAACATATTTGAGACAGTTTAGGTCATGTATCCAGCCATTAAAACGTTTGAATGTTATCATTCCTAACCGTTTCAATTTCAATACGGCGATGCTTGGTTAAGCGTTGACAAGTAGTAAATTTCATCTTTTACATTATTACTGATCGACTTTCTTTTCGTTATTCATAACTTACAAGTTTCTTCATCTTGGCATTTCAGTCCAGAACACTGTCAATTAGCTACATATTTATTTGAAAGTTCAGAATCAAATCGTTCGTAAATGATCTTTTAGTCTGGAAGGATGAAGAAGATCTTTTTGTCTTCAAGTGTAAGATGTTCTATGTAGACCGTGTGGTTTCTGTCAGTTGATCTTCGAGGTGCATACAGTGCTAAAAAACCTACATTTAGTCAATGAAGCCGAGGTGGAATAATTTTTTTATATAACTGAGTGATTTTAACCTCGAAAAGGTGTTATGATTGTGACACTTATGATATCAGTGGTCAGCTGTGTCATACTATACCTGGTAGTTTAAGGGATTATTCATATCTGGGTAATGAAGCTTTCATATTGGTCTGATACTCATCACGTCATGATAATCAGGATCTATCCATTAATTGTCTGTGTGCAACAATCAATATAATTTGGATAGCATCAGTTTAAGATACTAAATTTTCGAGTTGATTCGTCAAAGGGGATCTGTTCTACCTGGTAACCGATGCTTGGAGTTCTCTAGATGGCTTGAAAAAATTTCGAGAAGCCACAAGTGAGATGATCACTAACCTGTGTACCTATCTAGCATTTATAAACAAATTTACATTTAGCTTCGGCATTTTTTTTACAAGTCTCATGATTATTACTATTTTGTTAAGGTATCCTACGTCGATTTTTAGTATGGCCTTCAGAAATGGTTTTGGCGATGTCAAATTATTACTTGCTTCTTTGATGGTCCATTTTAAATCTGGACCACGTGTTTATTACTGAGACTATGTATAAAGTAGCGACGTTAAACGAGATAAATAGTGACCTAGTATATGAATATCCTACGGCCGATTAATCTCCCTTAGAGTGAATTCAATTAATACAGAAAAATAATTTAAATATTTTTTGGGGAGGGGTCATTCTTTTCCGCCTTGCTGCCTATAAGAAGCGACCAATAACAAGTACAAATATTTTTAACGCATCGTTCCCATTCTCTCCCTTTCTCTCTCTATGCATGGATGTGTTCGGTGAATGACGTCCTACATTGCATTGTTTCGAACACTTCACGAATCAGAGCAGTCAACAAGTCTTCGATGGTTAAATATGAGTCGTCTGAAATTTTTTATTCTTGCTAGTATATGTCAAGCGATTTATTATTGGCTACCTGGATACATTATGCCTGTTCTGACTGCACTTTCATGGATGTGTATGATTAAACCCGATAATGTTCTATTATCTCAGTTGACTGCTAATCGTGGAGGTGGCATTGGTTCATTAATACTTGACTGGAATACGGTTACGGGATCATATGCGCTGCTAAATGTTCCGTTTGCATCACCAATAATTGTGCCACGTTGGGCGCTTATCAATATTCTTATAGGTTTTGTAACTATTGTGTGGATTATTATTCCAAGCTTTTATTATTCAAATTTATGGAATTTTAAACGTTTTCCTATTGCAGTAAATCAGTTTTATAAAATCGAAAATGATCCGACAACATGGTTAAGTGCTTCATCTGTCATCGCCTGGAGTCTTCGTTTTTCATCGTTACCAACACTTTTTATTCATACAATCTTTTATCACGGTAAAGATATTATCAAACAATGTCGTACATCATTAAGAAAACGAGAAAATGATGTACACTGTGTATTAATGGCAAAGTATCGAGAAGCATCAGAATGGTGGTATATAGTTATATTTACCACTGCATTCGTTATTGTGATGATTATCTGTCATTTTGCTCAATTAATAACATGGTATTATTTATTATTAGCTGTTCTATTTGCTTCCATTTGTTTATTACCTATTGGCATTGTTTTAGCAGTAACAAGTATAAATATAGATGTTTATGTTATCGCTGAAACTCTCGGTGGTAGCCTATTGCACGGAAAAACAATTGAACTTTCAACATTTGTTATGTTTGCAGTTGTCGTACAAACTCAGGCACTTGGTTTACTCATGAACTTCAAACTTGGTCATTACATGAAATTATCACCACGTGTGATGTTTATAATACAACTTGTAATTACAATTTTCTCAAGTATTATTAGATATATTACGACTAATAATTATTTATTAACATCTATACCCAATTTATGTAACAGTGATGCATGGAATTGTACAGCTATAGACTGGGCACCAAGTAATTTTGCGTCTAACGGTGAGTAACAAAGAGTAAGGGAAGCCGTCTAAATTCGCATCTGTAAATTTATTCACCGGTGGATATTTTCACCAGTGAATAAATCCACAGCTAACTGGATTGGAAGAAAATTGAGAACAATATGGAACTATCGGTATAACAGAAAGTACATGTATGTGTTTATTCTTCTCTGTACTGTACTTGACTTAATTGACTTTTATATTTAACCGATATCATTTGCTGTTACGAAATTGTTTTAATCAGTATCTATTATTAACACTAGAAGCGCCCGTAGCGGTTTGACCGTTTTGTGACTTTTATCCTTAATAAAACAAACTGCATACAATTTATTTAAAAATAAATTATGTCATAACTTTTAATTTGTCCCACAAAAACTATTTTTTTACAGAATTTTTAATTCATTTTTGAATTCAGAGCCATTTTTAAGTATAAAATTTTTAAAAAAAACAGTAACGGTCAAAATCACCGCTTTAAGCATTCTAGGTCATGAAAATTTCCGGGCGTTCTAGTGTTAAACGAAGAATATTGAAAGAGAAGACTCCCTTCAATGGACTTCCTTCAAGTACACAACTTGTACTCTATAACATGCTATTTTTTAGAAAAAGGTACCGTTTAGTTTTTGAGTTATAAGGCTGCCAATATAGCTGAACGTATGAAAAAGTAGGTATCTACGCCAATATAAAAGCCAAATGAGTTGTCAGAGAACTTTCTGAACTACCATAACTTTCCGGCTTTCTCTATGGGCCATGGTGGTGAGAGATAATGTACGTTAAACAGAAATAAAAGTGGTTAAAAGGCTGTTATAGTTAGTATTATTGTTAGTATCTTCTTGAAACAGAGCTATTGATGATCATTGAATAAGAGCGTCAAATGATGAACAATAACTACTCATGCATTACCGTTATATTCATCATTGTATGTCTATATAATCTACACATTAGTTCAGCTAGATGAAATTTTGATGTTTTCTTCTTTCTACACTGTTAAAAATTTTTTACACCAAATAATGTTCGAATGTGTCAAAATAGGTCAAAAACGTTATATAACGAACAAAAACTCATTAAACGTTTTATAAAGTAAAAATGTGTAGAAGTAGTATACTGTAAAGCATTATACTGCATTATTGTGACACATTTTCACTTTATAAAACGTTTAATGAGTTTTTGTTCGTTATATAACGTTTTGACCAATTTTCACACAATCCAACATTATTTGGCGTAAAAATTTTTAACAGTGTATACATACTAGATAAAGCAAGAAATGGAGAAAAGAACAAATGTATCGTTTCATCCAAAAGAAAGATTCCCTTCTTTATGAAATTAGTGTTTATTCTGGCAACTTCCCAGATTAAAAAGTTAACAAATTTGAAGGTACTCTTCTTCAGTTTTTCTGCCAGTTTGAAACACACAAGTTGTACTCTATGCCAAGCTATTTTTTGGAAATAGGTCTCTTTTAGTTTTTAGGATGCAGAGATCTCAATTATTGCAGACCGAAGTTAGTAAAATGTATGGATTTCACTTTAATTTTAGAAACTGCACGAACTCGGAATGTCTAACATAACTTTTTTGATCATTTTTCGGAACATCTTAGTCAGACAAGCCCAAGTTCTACATTTATTTTTTCCAGTGAAATCACTAAACTTAAATTGAAACGGATCCATTTTACTAACTTTTATCTTTGATATTGACGACCTAATTTCTTAAAAACAAAAGAAACCTTTTTGTAAAAAGTATGGCGAATATATTACAATTTGTGTACTACAAATTAGTACAAGAAGTGGACTATTGTCATAACCCTCTCTGATTATTCTAGTTTTAATTAGCGAAGTGAGCCAAATACAGAATTAATCTAGAGCTAAAACACATTCCATAATTCAGTGTTTTCTTTACTTTGTTCGTTGTGTGCTATTATATACATACGAGCGAATCGTAACTTTTTTGTACAATTATCATTTTCATTTAGGTTCCTAATAACTCTGCTTCGGCTGATTGGATTTTCAAAATTTTTTTTTATTTAGCTCGTAGCTTTGTCACCCATCGATACCAAAAGTTTCAGCTTCGTGCGCTCACATCTCGCCG